TTAATGTAGTCAGTAGCCTAATCCAAGTATCACAGTATTAAAGTCACGTTCTGTTACTTACTTGCACCAAATATGCAAAAAAAACAAGAGAAAAGAAATGTCAATAAGAAGTATTGATTAAAGTGTATTCAATAACAGAACAATGTAACAATGGAATTGGATTTTTAGCATCATCAATGAGTCCTCAGTGTGTTATAAAAGTAAAAATAATCCCTGTTTTTACTAGTTGTAACTGTAATCTAATTATGTGTTTTACCTCTTTTTGTATTACATAACTCACTTACATGTAATCGGTTACTCCCCTGAGCCTGATTATACAAAATATGGCACCTATTTTTTTTCAATTTTCCCCTTTTTCCACAAATTCATTGGAGAAAAAAAGCCTAAAAACATCAACAACAGCGACAGGCATCTCAGTTTTTAGACATTTTAGGCCACAACGAAGCCTCTGAGATCCTTCGGGGAAGAAAAACAGCAAATTGTCACATCTGAGAAGCACAAACCAGACACATTTCTGGCATTTCTCCCTGACAAACGACGACAAATTGATTATCAAACAGCTGCAAAACTTTGACTCAACTAATCTTTCAAGCTCGACTGATAAGAGCATACATGCTCACATCACATGTTCAGCCACTTTTTCCACGTTACAGGTCGTATTTAACACTTTTCTTCCCCTTGGTGTTCCCAGCTGTCGTGTTTCCTCTTATCTGCCACGAGGACAAACTCTCCACCGGGTCGAAGTGAGCTGACAGAGGTCCTCTACATCTTGAGAGATGACCCTGCAAAATAGTTGACATTCTTCGCGGGGAAGGAAGGAGGGAGGGGGGAGGGTTGTGGTGGCGAGAATTATTTCCGCCAAAAGGTCAAACATGGAAATGATTATATGCATTGTTGCTGATGTTGGGTAGTCTCTCTCTCTCTCTCTCCCTGTCTATCTGGCTGAAACGAGCACACAATGTAGTCTGTCTCCCCGCTGACCGTTTTCAAATGTTAATGGCCGGCTCATGGTGCGAGGGCGCAGGGGGGAGGGGGGGATGTCTATTCATTGTCGCTGGGGGAGAAGCTCTTCACGCTCACTGAAAAGTCTTGCACGGGAGCAAAACTTGGGGCACGAGGGGTAAGTTATTCTGCACTTAAGTGCACAGACGAAAACCTCACGCCATGATAATACGGTGACTTTATAACAGGCAATAAATGGTGTTCAATGCAAAGTCATAACGAGATAAGACTGCCTGTGGAAAGGGGGGGGGCGGCACATGGAAAAGCTATTTCACTGCTTGAATGTTTGCTTTGCTTTTTTCTCGTTCTTCTTTCAGGAGAATACAAATGTCTCCTTCTACGCAAACCAAACATGCACAACGCACACAAAAGAACAGAGTTCCCGGTGTGCCCCCGCTGCCAGACTCATTACTGATGTAAAGGGGCACCTTGAAACAATCATGTGCATCTTCCCGAACAACCTTCCCACGCACAATCGCCTGAAATGCTCTCATTCTCACAGGGCGCTCCTCGACCTCCCGGCTCTCTCCCATCCCCCCACTCCCCCCCCAACACATCCAACTCTGTTTGCCCTCTCGTTCCTCCCTCCCCCCCACACACACAACTTCCTCTTTCTTTCATTTTCTGCAGGCCCTTTCAGCATCACAGATCCTCCTCCTCCTCCCACCCTCCCAGAACAATGTCTGCTCCGCTCTCCTCCAGCCCTCTTTGCTGTTGGACCAGCGCCTGGAACCTGAACCCATAAAAAAGAAACACTGAGGAAAATACACACACACACACACACACATTGGCCAGAATATGGGTTCACCTAATCACTCCTCACTGTGGTTGTGAAGCTATTTCTGCAACAGTTACGTCAGCTACGAAGGAATGAGTTAAAAGGTTGTGGAAGTCTCTGGGAGAGACTTTTTTTTAAAACTTATTTTGCCCCAGAAAGTTGTGTCATAACACTTTAAAGGAATAGTTTTTTCGGAAATACATTTGCTTTCTCTCTTTAGCTGTTTTCAGTCTTTATGTTTAGGTAAACTGAGAGTGGTATCAGTCTTCTCTAAAAGGTCTTTTCCATGACCACGTTAATTGTGATGAGTTGTGCTGCGCTGCCCACGAGATAGGCCTCCTCTGGAGTCGGGTCAAAGTGCCCCCTAGCGGCCTGCGGTGACGCCTCACCCAATCCTTCCTGGTTTTGCTGATTCATAATAAAAGCATTTAAATATAAAATTGTTCCAGGACTGGTGTGTCGAGTCAAGCCAAGTCAAACCGAGTTAAGCCGAGCGACCACATGTGAATGGAAAACGCCATAACTCTCAACCAAAAAGCGAATAAGCCCCTTTCCCAAAATGTTTAACTATTCCTTTAAACCCCCTTCAGGTATCATCTCTAATACATTTGTATGGACAGACTTTGCCTAATCTAGCCATCTAAAAACATCATGCTCACAACTGTGAAACAAATATTCTTCTCCAATAAGAGAAGAAATACATAGCCCAAAGTTTAGTTAATTATGTAATAGTTTAGGCTAACGCGGTGGTTCCCAACCTGTTGGCGAGTGCGCATGTCTGTGCACCGATCAAATACCACCTAATTTATGAGCTCAGAAATCCCAGCAGAACCAGAGCCAGGCCAACAATGAGAGCAATCACACAGGCTTATATATAATAATAATAATATATATATTTTACTGCAGATGTATCAGCAAAGAAAAAGTGGCATCAGAACATCTCTACTGTCTCTCTTCTGCCTGCTCATCTTCCTCTTCCTGGGCCTCACTGAGTCTGTGTGCGGACCCATCAGGGGGATTATATGCATTAGGTGACCTATGGAAGACAAGCCTTCCCTTCACACCTGAACACCCACTGGAAACCATCTCTGATGTCAGGGAGGAGAGGGGAGGGAGGGGGAGCAGCGTCTGGCCACAACTTCACCTCAGGACATGTGACGGGGGCGCCAACCCGCCGGGGGCGATCTCGTTAAGCTTCTGTGGAAACATTACCACTCTGCGAGGACAGGAGTGCTTAATATAGCTGTGAATAATTCATTGCGGCGGAGATCAAGAGCAAACACTGAGACCTGATAGGGGAACATAGTAAACTTTGACACCGTTTAACAGATTTATTTGACCTGCAGGAAACTCCGTAAACACTCTAGCCGAGACAAGGCCTCTCTGGCTGCCTGATTTCCCAACTTTATACCCCCTCCCTGCCACCCTACCTTCCTCTGGCGGGGTTGCATAATGCAGATATGTTTATCATAAGCAAAGAGCACTCTCCCTATCTCGCCTGACTGTGCAGAGGCAAACAAAAGAAGTGTAGACGTCAGAGAGAGGTTGCATATCTCCTTCCTATAGTGTTTGAAAACCCTGGTGTTGATCACATTTATTAACACCCACTGAGTCTTTATCAATAGAGGACCTGTTCTGGGTTGTTTCCCTTCCCCTTGAAATCCTCGTTACGCTCTCTGGCCTCGTGCCCAAGAACATCATCACCATCCTGGACTGTTGCGCTCCCTCTGCCCCGAAGAACTGTGTACTCAACGGGACAATGAGTCAGCTGGGACCATGACGCAGATGCAACAGCGTGGACGCCCTCCAATCACCACCACGCCTCACTAAAACAGGGACACCAGGCCCAGCAGATGCTGAAGAAAAAAAAGGGGACTCAAACTGTGTCGAGTCGAGAGCCAAAAACTCTGGCAAAACAGCAGCTTCACACTTCAGACAACAGCAAGTGAAGAGGAGTCACTGCCCTCAAAACCCCTGAATCATCCAAACACTGTGCACTATTTGCTTCCCTAATATGGTGAGGAAGACTTCAAACTATGTAGCTCATGATGAATGAAATAAAACAGGGAGAGTGGGGTGGGGGTGGGGGGTGACACTTATGTGCAGCAGCTCTGGGTAATCACGTCTCTTGCTAAATACTCCCATATAACATTCACCAAGCAGTGGGTCAAAACATGTTAACCATCCCACTCCAAGTCCATCCAAAGCTTCCTGTAGCTGTAGATGAAGCTGCAGCAGGCTGAGACAGACAGTGACCGAGCCTTTCTTACAAGGACGTGATTCATTCAAGTGAAAGTCGAAAATATGACAAAAAGGTTTGTGATATGAATCTTAGCTTCCCTTTTAACAGGTGAATTATTAACTGGATTGTTTCATCCATGTGAGGGTGGTTTAATCATTTAACTCAGTGGGTAAACCCCCTCAAAAAACCCCACAGATTTTGAACAGATTTGTTGTTATTAAAGAAGAAGCTGAAAGAATTGATCAATTAGTCGATTGATGGAGAGTCATTTTCCTTGTTCCAGCTTCACAGTTTTAAGGATTTGCTGCTTTTTTTTGTCTTATATGATCGATTGATTATGTGAATATGTTATATAAAGATGTCCCCATTTGCAATACAATACCTGTTAGCTGCAACCCTAAAGAAGGACGTAATAAAATATAGAAGGATTGCCAAATCTAATAAAACAATAACAAAACAAAGTCCAGCAGCAACACGGATGTCATTAAAGAGGACGTACGTGCAATAATCAATGTGCCTTTTTATACCTGCTGGGTGTCAAACTGACTGCAGCAGAGACACAGGAGTGATCATCTGAGCTCAAACAACATATTTCTGCTCCTATTTCTACCTTCTTTTTTTTTTTAAAGAGGGGGGGAGGACGGTGCGTTTTTTTCCTCCATTTACGCCCCTGTGGTTGCATTAAATGTAGCCTGGAGGTATGAAGATGAGACATTAAACACATCACTTAAGAAGAGTGATAGCATCCTCTTCTCACCCCCTCTTGATAAGCAGTTTCCCCTTTTTAAAAAAACAAACAAACCCGGATGCACTCAATTTAAAGAAGTTATAATTAAAAGTTTCATCATCGCAGCACTACAGTCGACTCCTCCAGACCCAAACCCCCCCACAGCTGTGTGGAGGGTCAAATAAAAGCCCCGCATACCCCCGCATTATGAACATTATGAACAAGAATCCCATCTGTGCCGCTTCACTTACTTTGTATTTCATCTTGTAGCTCTTCTCTGTGACTCCAGTAAACAAGAAACAAAAAAGTAAAACAAGTATATATCCGCTTTGTCGCGTCAGAAAGCGCACATCTGAAAGTATGTGGAGGACTGGAGAGGGAGGGGGGGTTTACTGGCTGGTTAACCGGCCATCCAGAGCTTCACAGGCGGGAGGAAAACGCACACACACGCACACACACACGCACACAAACGGAGGAATCTCTCTGGGTCCGGTCCGCTTCTTTCTACTCCTTTACACCAGACTGCTGCTCACCACATTGACCGTGGAGCCTCCCATTTGCATAACAGCCCGCTGATTGGTGGAGGCTACACTCTGGCCACGCCCCCTTTCCTTCCCTTGCCCTTATAAATGACGTCATTATAAAGCTACAACGCAGCCACTCACTGGGGTATTATTATAACAATATATCTATATCTATATTTTATTTTAAATGTGACTCAGTGATGTTAAATATATATATTAATAGCATAGTGCAGCATTAAAACCGTTAATTCACTCTTTTGTCACACTTCTTTAGGGGATGAATATGCTCTAAATTTTATGAATATTATATTAGCGCCATTAAAAGTGTGCCGAATTAGCTATTAGCAGTCCCTCTTTGTAATGAACCCACACAAGTACAGACACCCATCACTGGATTTCTGTGATACTCATGAAAACTTAAAAACGAGATTATTCTTAGGCAAGTTCTGGAGTTAAAAGAACTTCAGGCGAGCTGGGCTGCTCTTAATAAGACATGAGCTCCCCTGAAAACATGGTTTCCACTCCAGAAGGAAGAGTAGGTTGTCCACTAATCATAAAGTTTGATCCCTGGCTCCTCCCATTGCATGTTGAAGTGTCCTTGAGCACAATACTGAACCCCAAATCTCTCCTTATGTTGTGCATTGGGGGTATGTTTGCCATCGCTGGGTGAATGTGGTATGAAGTGTAAAAGCACTTTGAGAGGTTGGAAGGTGCTACACAAGTACAGTCCATGATGATACTTTTGTCATGCAGTTCGATTTGTCTATGTCTTCCTGGTCATGGATTGTGCGTAAACTTGGGCTACTACTGATGTATGATTTGTGCACGAGGGTGATTCATCACTAATTCACTTTAAATAAAATAAATAGCAATATCTTTGCCGTCACCATCGTAGCGTGGCTGCACAACATCATATACATAAAATAAACGTTCCAGTCACCATTATTCATTACTCTGTTTTTCAGTCATTTGATTGGATACGATTATGTAACCGCAGAGTTCAACAAAAAAAAAAAATTACACATTACTGAAGCTGTTAAAGTGTGAAACCTAATGCTGCTTTTAAGTTGTTGCAACACAGTTGAGTGGAGAAAAAAAAAAAACCCTATCAGGAAGTTATTGTGGCTTCACGTGATCAAGTGTTTTTTGTTTTTCTCAGTGAAACTATGAACGCCGAAGGAAGTGTGATTATGCAGAATTTTCTTCTGCACGGAAACATTTCCGCTATTACACCTAGTCACAAAACCTTTTTTTTTTCCACCTGTAGCTTACACCATCATCCTGCTCTTCAATGAATACATAAATAAATACGTTTTTTCTCCGAGCTATAGCCTCGTCTTTCCATCAGCTGTCCCGCACTGCAGATGACACACACTTGTGCTTAAACATCAACGACAAAACAAACAGGTATTTTGTTGGAGTGTGGAGGACAAGATGAGGTTAAAATGTGGGAAAGATGTTTCCTCCAAAGAGTGTCACTGCTCCATCAGAGGAAATCCCCTCCAGAATTAGGGGAAATCTAAACTGAACATGAAACAAAACTACAAGGCGATTCAAAGGTCTTTGATAAATCCTTCTGTTGTCCATGAAACTGTCTCTTTCCATTTAAACAAATATTACCTGGAACTGTTGAAACTGGTTCATTTGAATAAATTAACCACTAAGCAACATAAACACTAGTCTACTAGCCTAGTCTGGATTTTATAGAAATTCTTCTGGACGTATAAAACCTCTTAAAGCTTGAAAGAGTTGTAATCTGATCAGATCACCGACACAATGTGGTCGTGTAACACATCGTTAGATCGGTTAGATTCAATTTAATCATTCAGTTAATTTTACAGAAACCACAAGCACCAAAGTATCAAATGATTATATGAGTTATTTGTCATTAATATGTTAGTCGATAGCCTTATACAAGTAATATTCAAACTGGTTTAAATAGACAATTTGGTAGTATTTCTCATCTTTGCTGAGCAAAAGGAATTAAAGGCCTGTTTCATATAGAGGCAGGATGAGTCTTATAGTAACTCATAATAATCTTAGTTCTTCTGGACAAAACAAAACTCCCAATAAATTCTTAATACTTCACAAAAACAAGCTTGTTATCCTTGGTGTATTGGTGGCTAAAGAAGTAGGTATACTCGTAATTAATAAACGTCACATTTATCTCTCCCCAAAAATGGACCACAGCAGAGGTGCAGATTTTACAGTCAGTACTGGTCCACAGACGGGCGAGACAGCTACATAATCATACATTTTAACTGATAACTATGTCATGCCTTAACCATCCTTGGAAACACAAATTAATCTGGCAGAAGGCTACTGAATGATGGACATCAGAGGGCATTTAGAAGTGCATAACATCCCTGCTTGTTATAATTTCTTAAAGACAGATTACTTTACATTCATTTATAAGTTCTTTTACATTAATTTACATGTTATTTTCCATTAATTTACAAGTTATTCTACATAAATGTAGGTTATTGGTGTCAGTGCTCACCCAGACTTGAGAGAAGAAAGCGCAGATGAAAGCAGAGATGTCACTTCCATAAACTCAGCTCAGCATCTAACGGAGGTGACAAGAAACACCCAAACTGATCTCTGACGAGCTGACAAGCTGGCAGGAAAGCCTTCGCCTCTCTGCATCACCCTGCTAACACCTCATCAGTGCACACAGCTTGCAAAGTATGTGCACTCAAGATCTGCATGCCATGAAGACACAGAGGCCCAATGGAAAATAAGTTATTACTAACATTTTGCACACATACAGGCCTGACGTGGGTCTGCCTGTTTGTTATTGAGACTGTTTTCTTATAAAAGAGGCAGAAATCTCCTGTAATTAGTCTGCCTCTCATGTGTTTCCGAATGCTCTAATTTGTGTCAGCTCATTTATCACAATCACAGGGACCCTATCGGCTCTCATTGTCCCCCCTCCGAACACTCATATCCTCAGATGAATGCCTCTTGTAAGGGCACTCAAAACACTCGTTTGTGTAATATACACCGTGCCCAGCTGGAGCCCATTCTCTGGGCCACAAGTGGGTACGAGGGGGCTATTCTTTTCTGTGTATGGCATGTGATTATGTGCCTGCGAGCACCTGTTTCCTATGACAAACACAACTCATTTTCCCCATCTGTTTATATCAGCCTGTTTTGGAGGAAAACAGCCTGAAATAAGCCGAAAAGGTTTGTTTATCCCCTCCTCACAACATTTGGCGGGATTGAATTGAGTCCATTACTCTTCAGTCTCTGGTGGCGTCTCATTTTTGGCTGGTTTCAACTCACTGACACGCATTATCGGGGAGTTTACAGCCCCCCCCCCACACACACACTCCTTTTCAATCTCATAGCAGAGAAGTCAAACAATCGCCGGGCAAGGAGAGGATTTTGTATTGGCATTTGGGCTTGAGCGGCAAGCCCCGGTCGTCATGACAACTGCCACCATGGCTGCAGTATTTGTGGTCTCACACCTACAGTATTACACAAGAAGAAGAAAAAGGAGACCTCCAGTCTTTATGGGGTCTTTCTCCAGTGTAATTATGGCACACATTTTCAGCCGGTGATAGTGCAGAGTGAAAAATGAGCCGCTCCGGGTCTTTTCATCTCCGCCAGGTGTCTGTGATGTTTTTGGTTACATAAGCAGCCCCTGCAGATCTGACCCCAGGTTTAACAGAGGGCAGAGCAGCCATACATCTTCCATAAGTGGAGATCACAGGGCTGCCTGAAGCGGGATCCTGGCTGCTGGATGGACAGAAGCAGGGAGGAGGAGGGGGGTTACTGGTTGGTGGAGAAGCCTGACAACAGGCTCTCTGTGCAGGCCTCTGGCGGAGGGTGGCCCCCTTCACTGCTGCCCTGTGAAACACCGTCTCTCAAACTCTCGCAAAACCAGCTCAGGCAGATTTATGGGACCACCACCCCCCTTCCTTACTCCACAGACAAGCCGAGGCCCCCCCACTCGTCCTTAGTGTCTCCCTCTTTGTGCCCCGTGACCTTGTGCAGCCTTGTGGCCGGGCAGCAGCAGAGAGGAATGCACAAAACACACAAGACGGAAGAGTGAGAAAATATGAGTCTGACACCCTGTCAGGGTCGCGATGTTTTTTCTGCCATTTGTGCCATAAACTGAGGAGTTATGTCTTAAACTTACAGCCACTCACATTGTCTTGGTTTTATTTGTTTTCAGATGTATATACTCTCAGATTTCTGCCGCCTCCCTAGAACAACGGAGGTGAATGGAAACAAAATTACATTTAGTAATCCAGCAGCAACATCTTTTTTTTAGTTTTGAAGCCTCGAGTTCAGCATTAAGGCCGTCACCACCAAAATACAACTTCATCGATAATCAAATTTTAAGTTTAAAGAACATGAAGGAGGAAACAAGGTATGACATAGATGTTCAATAAAAGAGAAACAATACATACAGTATATACAAATATTATTTGGGTCTTTGTTGGTTTATATCATTTATAAATAAGTTAAACTTTGGTTTTCTATTGGAACATTTTTATGTATATGGATATTTGCCATTTGGATTGAGAGTTTAAGAGTTATTTCCAAATGGAAATACTGCGTTTTGCAGCCAGCGGAGGTGATGTACTACGAGTCGAGCTGCTCTCATTGGCTGCTCAGTTTCGACTTCTCCGTAGCAGGAAACAATGGCGGCTTGCCTGGTCACACATAATCTCATATTACAGCTTAACAGTACACTAAAATATGTTTGTGAAACGATTTTAAGTGAGAAATAGTCAACACAGTGACAGAATATTGATTCATATTTGATCAGAACTCACTCACCTGTCAATCACAAGGTAGCCTCTCCCTAAAACATAACCTGCTTTATCGTCTAATTTAATCTAAATTGGATCATAATTTAGTAAATTAACATCATGCTGTATGGAAGAAGAGTTGAAACTAGCGATTTAGACCATAAACTCATTAGGAAACTGTTTACCGAGCTAATAAATCAAATGAGAAGTCGGCTCATTTCTCCATAAGAAATGCAGCC